TAAGATTTTTAAAAAATACATTGGTCATTATTAATGATGTCATAATATTTTATTATAGGTTACTTATGAAATTGCTGGTGCGATAGAAAAAAATAAAGATTCCCTTTCACAAAATCTCGTATTTGTAATGAAAAGTAAGTAAATGGTTTTGTGGTTACTGTTGTTGAAAATCAAGATATGACTTGACTTTAATTTTCATTTTAGTTTTTAAGAGAAATTGGTATATATTTTATTTCCACATAAAAAAGTCACCCTCATCTTTTTGAAGTATGTATGCGTTGTTTGAAATTTGATCTAATTTAGAAAGCTTTTGGAATTCATGAACATAAAGCATCTTCATCATGTGGTGTGATGGAAAGAACAAGAAGGTATAGTGTGATAGATGAGTATGACTTAAAGAAGTTGTTGAGTATGAATTAAACAGAAATAAACCCCAGAAAATAGGGAAAAGAAATAAGGCTCCCAAAATCATAGAGACTGCAGTGGGATGCACTTCACTGCTTGACTACCTTTCTAAAAGCAGGAACTTGTGGGCGTTCTTATGTTTTTCAGTGAATAGAAACAAATGTCCATTGAAATACAAAATTAAATACCTTTCCATGTGCATATTGTATAATTACAACTAATAATAATGTATCCCAGTTTATTAATTAATGATTCATAATTAGATTACTAAAAACCTCTATCATTTACCCTTTCTGTGAAGAAAAAACATTTTCCTTGGGGAAATGTCAGTGTATCCTGAGATGTTTGTCTTTTCGCCAACCACTGCAGAGTCTTTCATTTAATATATTATATACTTACATTTCCTTCATAGAAATAGAGGTCTTTTGGAGCTCATTTGTATTCCAAATCAGCCCTGCTGTTACAATGTATTGTTTTTTAGCAATTTTACTGTGAAATTAGCTAAACTCCCTAGTAAAATAATTGATGCATTTTAAGGGCAAACAGTGTACATTAAGGTTGAAGAAAGAAATGGAAGAATTGATTTTGTATATAATCCTATTGATCATAGTTCTAGAGACATTTCAGTTCTCACTACTTGGAATGTACATGATAATCTGGCAAAGAGTATAAGAAGGTATGGCAACTTCCATTATGTTCTACAAGAGAGAGCATTATTCCATTCTCCCACAGTCTCCTTTTTGCACTTTCATTATGCAAAAATTTTGTGTAATCACCTGTGCAACTGTTAAAAGGGAAGAATGGAGGATTGGATTGGATATAAAATGTTTGATATGCTGAAAGTGAGTGTATATATAATTAAGAAGTCATAATAATAACAATTACAATTAATGGAAACATTCTGAAGGCAGAATATTTACAAGCACGTCCGTCATTTAAGGGCTATGTTCCTCCTTTTTCAAGTGACTTAGGCTTAAAACCTATTGATTATCACTGACATACTTCCTTTAAGGTCAGTTTCATAAGTTCTGTAATATACCTTAAGTACATGCTTCCTTTGATTTCATTGAATTTAGTTTCCTTAATCAAAACTTTTAATTATGCTAAGAACATTAAAGTAATTTGCATATATGTGTAAGAATGTGGAACATACCTGTCCAACAAATAAATCAGGAGAGACTATTGACATAGGTTTTATCTGTTTTAATTTGAAGGACATAATTTTAATGCCTTTCCTAATGCTACTTACTATATTTATCCATACTTTAAAAATACGGAGGTTTACTATGTCCGCTGATTGTGCTGAAATTGTTTCAAGTATCTGCTTTACTATTTTCCTCATAATTTTATTACTCCTGTTAAGTAAGGAATAGTAATCTCCACAGAAAAAGGGAGAGAAATCTGTTGCATTTAAGCATCTAGTAGTATACCTTTAGACAGCTAATAAAGAGCAAACTGAAGATTTCTACCTGCTGTGCTAAACTTAATGACATTATTCATGATGCTTATCCTATTCATCTTTCTGGGTTTTTGTTTGTTTTATTCACATGATGGGTGTGATCATAATGCCAGTTTGTTAGTTCCTAAAAAAAAACTAATAAAAATTAAGGATGGTTAAGGATGTATCACACAACAGGTTTTTAATGCTTATAGGTGCTGTGGCAGTACAAGCAGCATGTAATTACCATGTCCATCTTAAAAAGCCCACGACCATAATCTCATAAAGGATAATTTGACTGAAATTAGTATAAAGTATCCTATTTGTCTTAAAACTCAGATTTTTATTTTTTAAAAACCTGTTGGAAGTGTATCTGTTTTGTACTAATTATCGCCAGTGCATCAAACATATGTATGGTGTTGTCTTTTTCCTGTAAATGTTTGTGAGTGTGGTCTTGATGTAGAGAAATGTGAACCCAGCTTGCCACAGTTCTGCCCTTCACCTTGCCTTTTTTTATTAATCCCTTCCCATATTGTGTTTTATGTAATTCTTTTTCTTTGGTGCAGTGAGTGTCTATAATTTCTTTCTGTCAAGTGCCTTTATGATTTCTAAATACTACATGTTAGGTAAATGTCACGCAGAATGCATCTTTTTTTATAGCTTTAATAGATGGATAAATTGGGAGGCTGTAATGGAACAAATTCAGGGGTGATTATCACATAAGTAGTTAAGTTTAGACAGATCACAGTCTGAAAGGTTTTGTTTTCTGCCCTGTTTGTTCAGCACAGGACCTGAATATGTTTAAAAATAGTGTTACTGATGGCTGACATCCTTAGATATTGAATGTTCTTTGATAACTAACATAATATAATAGTTCATTGGTTTGTCTACTTGTTTTAAGTTTACTTACTTAATTCTATCTCATACTGTGTGTCTTTTTACTCCCAAATACAATATATATAATTTTCTAACTTGTGTTTTATCTTCATACATTGATTTCTTCTTTTCTTCCCAGCCAGTGAAAATGTAGTCATCAATCAGTTGTTTCAATCCAAGCTGACACAAACTGGATCACTTGTTCCTCCATATCATTTCCTTAAAATCAAAGGGTGTAAAGCAGCTTTGCTGAGTAAAAAACCATCGGTAGCCTGTGCAAGTGGAGAAGCAAAGAAATACTTTGAGCTCAGCAAGGTAAGAATTTAGGACTCTTTCTGTTCTTCGCTTCTTGAAGATTTTTCTGTTACTTTGTCATTTCTGAAAGCTCCTTGTTCTCTGCTTCATTCTCTGTAGTCATTAAACTATTAAAATTATTTAGTACTTAATATGAACACTAAAGCAGTAGTGAGAATCAACAGGTTATAATTTACTAACACCAATAATGCTGGTTCAAGAGCCTCTTTCTTGGACTCTCTGAGCAGAAGGTTAGGCCAGATGATGAGGTCCCTTCAAGCCTGAATCATTCCATGATTTTGTGGTTCCAGGGCTTAGCAGTGGATGCAATATTACTGGTTTTTGGCTGTATAGGAACACTTCTTTGTGTTGTCTCCTTGGCTGACTTTATGATGAATAGTTAAGTAAATTAAGACATAGGAAGAGCAAAAATAAAACCTCAGTGTCTTTATTGTGTTAACCTGAGAAGATTTCTGCTTTGCAAAAGATAGTTTGTGTAGTTTTGTATGAAGATCAACTCTGTACGTTTTGGCAAACATTGTTATGTTAAATGGTCATTTGCACGTAAATTTTCCCAGTTGATTTGAAATCAAATCAAACTCTCCCCATTTCTGAACTTGTGCCTTCTTCTGCTAGCTACGTCAGTAAAAAAAGTTTAAAAAAAAGGGGGGGGGGGAACTTTGAAGGCTATCAGAAAATTCATTGTTCATGTCACATGGAACATCTGTCTTTTGAGGAGGAGTAACATGATTTGCTGAGTCCATTCTTGACAGACCTTTGGAATTCCTCCTTCTTCTAGAAAAGAAACGAGCAGTTCTCACAATACATCAGCTGCCTCGCCAGGCTTCTTGAATCTTACGGCTATTTTTGGCTTACAGCTGCATAAAATTGATTCTGTCATGGGATTAAGGAGCGTGCTCTCATGTGTCATTGTGGAAGGCGTTATGCAAGTACATCCATAGAATAGCAATGGGACTTTCCTTATAGCACCCCTGCTGATAGTAGTATAATTCCTGTCTACTGTTCTTGTCAGTAATCTCAGTGGAAAAACTAAAGGTGAAGTGAATGGTGTTGGTTTAAGGCTATATTTAGCAAACAGCTGAGGCCTCACAAGGTGCCTTTAGGTGCCTTTCCGCTATAACAACAGTTTCCTAGAGAGAGGAAGCTTCCTAAGGCTGTGAAAAAGATCCTAGTCCCTTACATGGAAGGAAGTATGAAAAGCACGTCTAAGTTAGAAGCCTTATCAAGCCGGGGGAAACACCACACAGCTGGGATCTCTGAAACTATGAGGCTTTTGACCAGTCCAGAATAGCTTTTAAACTGGAGTTACTCTCTTGAGAGAGAGAAGACATATTCAGATTCCTTTGGGAATCATGGTAAATTAAGTCAGAAATTCCAGATGCAGTGAAAATGCTCTAAACTTTAAGGTATTAGGTGGAAGGTGGGAAGAACTTCATCCTTCATCTGCCCACAGAGGCAAGGATGGCTTGGCTTCTCAAAGGTGGGCTTTGAGAAGAGCTGTGCAGGTGAGACAGAACACCACTTAAGTTTGTAGATACTAAGCTGGCCTAATTTGAGCAAGGTACTGTGCTGCCCTGCACGACGGAAGCAGAACTTCAGGTATCTAAGCTGTTCCAGTGGCAAAAAAGCGACACTTGTTATTTTGGAATAGGCACCTGATGCAGGAGCTGGGAGTAGGTAAGTGCTTAAATTTTTCTGTGGATCAAGCCCACATCTATAACTGCGCTGTCCCAAATAATTTCTTCACTTCTCCAGCATAGCCTTGAAAATCCACTGTGATGGGCTGGAATAATGCTGGTTTTGTTGTTTTGTTACTGTAATTGGAAATGCAATGTAAGTGGCATTTTCTTCTTATAATTAAAATGACTACAGGTTGGAAAATCTTAACCACTGCATTTTTATTGGAGTTTATGCTGAGGGTAAAGGGGATAAAGAAGGAAAAAAAAAGGGGGGGGGGGAGGGGGAGGAAGAGGGACATTAAGGCAAGATTTATCAACAAGAGACTGGCATTACTTTTATATCTGAAATCTGAGTTGTAACATACATCATTCTGTAGGCAGAGAGAAACACAAAATGGAAGGTATTCATGTTGCTGTGTATGGGTAGTCATCTAGACTCCACCATACCCAGCGAAGAGAAGTAGACACTTTCAGAGGTCAGATAAGAGTTTGTTGTGATTTCTCTCCCCTTTCAGCTTGTCGTCTGCAGTCCTAGCTACTTGCTAGGTTATGTAATTATAGATTTTTCTGTGTATGGCCATGTATCTACATGTTTACCTTTCCATAAGTGACTCTTTCCTTGATTTTGAGTATGTTGTCAAAGGTAAGGATGGTCTACCTCTTTGAACTCCCCACTCTACTTGTAGTAGGGTCCAAGAAAAGAGTGCATCCATCTTAAGATAGACATGAATAAATCTAATAGCTGGCCAGAATTTTGGAGCACATAAGGATTTGTAGGAATTTGGCGATGTCAGCTCAAGTCTCTGTGACTTACGAAGACTGTGTCCCCTTTTCAAATAAAATAGAATATATCTTCACTGATACTCTCACAACTCTCTTTTCCTCACATCAGCTCTTGCTCCCTTATTTTTCTGTAATCTTTTCCTAATGCATACTTTGGCCCTCTTGCCTTCCCCTCGCTTCCTTTGGAAGAATCAGTGGGTTTCCGAGTTAATACAGCAGAAGTCTAGTCACATGAATGCACAATCACTAACAGGAAGCTTTCCTTTCCATTGACTTTATGTTGTTTCTCTTTATGAACGCTTTGCTTCATTGTCTGTTAGTTGAAGAACTCATCTATTGCAAAGCTTTTGGTATGTCTTCTGGTTAAAGCTTTTAAATACTCTGCTGGTAAAGAGAGATTTTTTTAGGAGAAGGTTCTAGCTTCTTAACAGAGGTAGCAAATTTACATATATGGTTGGGGTTTTTTTTGTAGATCAGAGGTACAGGATTTTCCAAAGTAAAGCTGTATATTAGAGGGTAACAGAGAAGTACAGGTTCAGTGATGTAGTCTTGTTCCTTAGCCCATAGCTAAAGATGTCCAAGTTTGGAGAGTTTTAATTAAATTAATTTTTTGTCTTTGCCTTTTTTCGTTTCTTTTCTCTCCCTCATTCTGAACCAAACACTTCTTTCCCATGGGAAGAAGTGTGCAACACAGGACAGCAGGCAGAAACTTTAGCACCCAAAGCGTTGTTCCTGGCTCTTCCATTAACTCAGGAAATGGTCTTGAACTAGTGGCTTGATCTTTTGGGAGGAAGGGGTGTGAGTGCATTATCTGTCAAGTGGAGAAAACTATTTTGGTTATAGTCCTCAATCATTTTGTAAACTTTAACTGAGAAGTGTCATTGGCATGCTAATGGTTCTTTTTATGAGAAGTCCTGCAGCAAGCAGATCTACTTTCCTGTTTTGAAGTTGGGGATGAATTTGCCTTTAAAATCTCACTGCATCCTAGTAAGTGAGATTTGAAATAAAAAAGAGCTCCAAAGTTTAGCATAGGGAGTAGAGAATTGCTTGCATTGCAATATTTTAAATGGAATTTGGCTTGAGTGGGCCCAGCTGAGGAAACATACACTTTTTTGATGCAACTGGAAAAAGACAGGAGTAGGCCAGAACATGCTGACTTGATAGAAGGGGAGTTTTAGGGGATAAATGGACTGGAGAAGGGCAATGGAAAAGTCAGAGGTGAAAAGGCTGTCCTTGATACAAAGGTTTGAATCTAGAGCTTGGCCAAATCCTGGAATGCAATGATTTTGCCAGCCTTCCTGTAGAAAGTTTAATAAACCCCCTAATTTCTGGGGCCACTTTTAGGATGATTATTGCCATTTTAGTCTCTAAGATAGGAAGTAGAACAGTAAAAAATAATTTTTTTCCCCAACCCTGATGTATAGGATAACATTGGTTCTAATGAGCCATGAAGTTACTGATAATTTATGTCTATAATGGGTGAAAATGGGTTAAAAAAGAAAGAAAACCAGGTTAACTGCATTCACATGTGTAGGAAGAAGAAAGAAGGGTTTTTTTAATACTAATACTATTGTTTTGCCTTCAAGGTTTTTTTTAATGATCTGTGCTTACATTTACTCACTTAAGCATCTGCCAAAGACATAAGGAACCTTTTCAGAGAGTTACAGAATTATGCTACTTATAGGCAGACTGTATTGCACAAGTCCTGCTTTTGCAATAGAGTTCCAGGTCAAATTGCTTTGCCCAGTTATTTGGAAAAGGTATTTTATCTTTCCAACAGTATACAGCTGCTTTTGAAATCTAAACTTGCTTGCCAGTCATGGCTCTGCAGATACTTGAGGATATTTATCCACTTTCCCAATTCTTTCTGAAACTCAAATCATTGTCTGTGACATACTATTTGTATAAATGTTTGCCTTTGTTAGTCAATTGTGTAACAATGAAAATGAAGGTTTACTGCCCATCTTGAGTTAAAGTTCTTGTGTGTGTGCTTTTCTCCCCAACAGCTACTGAAAAAGAAAGGAACATCCTCATTTCTTCAGAGACTGGAACGAGGTGGCCCAACCACCGTGGCAATACAGCTCAGGGTTAGTGAACATCTCCTGGGCAGAAATTTACCAACCCTTCACCACCCCCCCACCCCCCCACCCCAAATTTTAAAGGCAGGATTAGTCTCTACAGATTGTAATGGAAGAAAGAAAAATCATATGCTTGAGAAAGCCACTTGCATGGCCAGGTCAAGCTGTTTGAGAAAATGATGTTAAAAAGTTAGGAAGAGCATATGTGTTGAGGAGTTTCCTTTGCTGCCCAATAATAATTGATAACTGATTTTTTTTCCCACAGAAATCACTCTCAGATATTATTGGGAAGCTGCAGAACTGCACGCCACATTCTGTTCATTGTATAAAGCCTAATAACTCCAAGTTGCCAGATACTTTTGACAATTTTTATGTGTCTGCTCAACTGCAGTATATTGGCGTCCTAGACATGGTCAAAATCATACGACATGGATATCCAATACGTCTCTCTTTCACAGACTTCTTGTCAAGGTAAATTCTTTCAAGTTTCATAAAAACCTTTTTCTTAGCTATGGTACAAAGCTTTCTGTCATGTTCTGGTAGTGCTTGCAGTGTTGTTTTGCTGATGAGTCTTTCAGACTTTCTTCCGAGAAAAATTATGTCTTCAGCAAGGGGTGTAGGCTTGTTATTTTTTAATTGAATGAGTCATGAACTTTGTGGAAATATATTTGTAAAGATCATCAGCAAAATGTATTCAATTTAAAAAATGCAACTTCATAAAATAGTTATATTTTTATAATTCATGGTTTTATACAATTTATAAAATACAAATATTGCATGTTGTCTCCGGGTAATTAAAAAGCAGAAGGAGAAATAGTCTAATTTTTCAAGTTTATTGGTGTAAGTGTCATGGTTCAGTATTTGTATTTCATATGCTAGAATTTGTTTCTGTATGGTGATGAGTTATTAATGCTCGTACCACAATTCCATTTTTATTATTGTTGTTAGAAATGAGTGAAATTTTGAATTAATGTGAAAAGACAAAAGGATATGCATCACCGCTTCTGGCTGAAGGAAAACTCTTTTCCCCCATCCCCAGTTCAGTTTTAGGGTTTTGGCTCGCTTACATTCTTAAACGCTTCAGCAAAGAAAGAGCACCATCTTGTCCAAGAGATGTTCGGTTAGCAGCCTCATGCACTCAACACACGTTCCTCTCTCTGCATGTTCTACTCCTTGACGGATACATTGAGCAGTCATGATCTGGCCTATGTATTATCTCCTGCAAACCAGCGTGGGAATACCAGCTGCTTACATACGTCTAAACTTTCAGTTGCTTTCTTGAAAAAGTTGTGGATGTTAAATTATTGCTTGGACAGGATCACATTCTCTCTGGCAATTCTGTAAATATTCAAAAAGTGCAGGAGTATAGGAGTTTATAATCCCACATGTTTCAAAGGTAAGCCATCTCTGTCCTAGCACAATATTCATGCTGCAGCATGAATCCAGAAATGTAGGCAGGTTGAGGAGAAGATGCAGATAATGGGAGATTTGGAAAAGCAGGCTGCTTTCATGGTCAGAAGTGGTAGGGGCAATCCCTAAATAGCCGTTTCTATACTACTAAATTCAACACTTCAAGGGACTATTACATGAGCATAAACACACAATCTTTTCTACTATTAAATCCTCACAGTGGTTCCTGGTAGGGATTTGGTCCTCGCCACCTAGCTTTTGTCACTGCAATTCCCAGGTACAGGTTGGGGGTTAGCACAGGCCTGGGACCACTCCTGGTGGGCAGCGTGGAGGTAGCTACTCTCTTTTGGAGGATAAAAGAGAGTAACCATATGTGCAAAGGTCATTTTATTCAGTTGGCTTCAGTGCCAGAGAAAGGTACCATGCATGTTCACTCTAACAGTATAGGCATGAGTCTGGCACGTTGTCTTCTTTGGAGAAACTTTATTGAAAAATATTACTAAAAGAATGTTTGAAGACTCAAGTACAATTTCAATCTTTTTCTTCCACTCCTTCAAGTACATCCCAAAGACAAATTTTTACCTAAAAGTCTAGAAGTCATCTGGTGCCTCACAATAAATGTTTATTTGCAGTAATGATAGGAAAACAGAATAGCAACAAAACCCAACAATATTATGCCAGCAACATTCATGCTATTATTTTAAAGTGTTCTAGTTTTGTTACTGTCCATCTTTATCCCTTTTCCTCCACAATAAATTATCTTTATAGGTTCCTTGCACCTGAGTCCCTGTCCTTTTACCTATTTGCACCAGGTCCTAATAATTTTGTTATTATACATAAAATTAATTAAACAGTGGTGGGGCTCGCATGGTGTCACTGAAAATGAAGTCCATTCTATAATATTACCTGTGAATATCTGTTGAACCTACTCAGAAGTTAGCAATAATCACTCTGTGTACATCTCTTGACACTAATGATTTTTCGATCTATGTACAAATAGGAACACAGAGCGAGCTCTTGGCCTAGCAGTACTGAAAGAAACCATCAGCATTATAAGGCTTTTACAGTAGCCATTCCTGTCACACAGGCCAAAGCTTATCTTGCTTTGAACAGCAGAATATGCAAATTCTTCACTTTACTCACCATGACCAGTTAACCTTCATATTCACATTCACTGTATGTGGATAATTCTTTTCATTTCAAATAGTGTAAGCATGTAGCTATTTCTTCTGTTACTGCCTGAAAAGTATGAAATTTTAAAGCAGAAAAGATAGTATTGGATTGTAGTTGAAAAGTGCTGTTTATCCTTAATGCTGTATTTTTTAGCCAACAGACTACAGATAAAGATTAAATAATTATTGAATTCAGAGAGTATAAGCTACCTTTTCAAAAGTCGTCTAAAAAACTGTCACTTGTACTACATCCCTGTATTGCCTCAGTGACTGGACAGGATGGTTTTGGAAACGGAATAATTAGTTCTCGCTATGTTCTTGTAAACTGGATTTGCTTTTTTGGCTGTTCAGCCTAACTCTGGTCTTGTCCTGCTATTCATTGATTGGAATGAGAAATGATTTTGTGAGATTTCCATACATGCTTATAATCCTGAAGCTGATAGACTTTCTCATCTTCCAGTTTTTTATTTCCTTTGGCGTCAAACTGGTATTTTTAGTGTTCTAATACTTGGGAAAATAGCATCTTCTCTATTTCTGCAATTATTTTTCCTTCATTGTGGCTTTTCTACTTCTTTTGCATGGTTCAGAATGGTCTGTGATTTCCAGCCCCTACGTGGGCAGCAGTGGTTGCACTGGTATGCATTTGGGCAGATTTTGAGCACAGGCACTGAGCTACTGAGTGCGATGGCTTTCCAAGAGCTGCTTCTTGCAGAACAGTCAGGATGCTGCACAAGAGTCTGAACCTGTCTCTCTGAGGTACTGGTTATTATTCTTCAAGCTGCAAAAGAGAGAAAAAATTATATCAGCTTGAATTTTACTTAGAGTCCCTCAATTCCAAACCAATACAAATACCATACAAACAAGTAAAATATAAAATGTCAATTATGACAAATAGTGATCACAACAGGCCACAATGATACTGGGGTGTATATGAACAGACTCCATTCTGAGCTATCCTGGAACGAAGAAGAAAAGAAAAAAAAAAACAAACAGAAAAACTACTGCTCTAGATAGAGATGGATAGTTAGAGGCTTAGTTAAAACCTTATAATTAAGGAATGATCATGAGCAGGAGTAGGATCTGAAAGACAATGAAGGCTTGCTTATTACCTTCCAGCACAGAAACATGTGCCAACTGATACGGCCTCCACTTTCTGTGTTATTTTCGTATCTGGAAGGAGCCATCATACTCAGAAACCCAGGGATAAAATACAGCTCTGTCACAGTGAATGAGGATGATGTTCTTTTATTTTACCTTTTCATCTTTTCTTTTTTTTTTTTTTAGTAGGGAATAAGTGTATCTGTTTAATATTATTCTGATTATGCTGAGGTGCAGGGGGCAGAAAAATCAGGAAACAAAACACAGGGAAAGATGAAGGAATTCTTCTTTATTCACTGTAGGAAGCTGTAAACAAGTGAATGTTCTTACCAAGTGCTCTTACTGGGCTGAAGAAGTTTAGCCTCCCCATGGCTTGCCCCAAGGGGCAAAGGAATTACTCCCCATTACTCTGGGGAGACAGCTGACAACAGAAAAACACAGAGCAAGAAAGAAAAAATAGACAGTTTCCATCTCTTAATGAGAATAATGAAATTTGCCTACACCATCATTTTTTTTTGTATGTTTATAAGAAATAGAAATACAAGTCATTTTTGCTTTATTCTGTCATGCTTTGCTGTGTCCTTGTTTGTAAATACTAAATACTAGTAAGGACTCTTGATTTTCACGTAGGTTTTCTCTTTTGAAGAGGACGGTGTCCTCCCCATTCGAGTCATGCTAATGAACAATTTGACCATGTGGCCCCAAAGGGGGAAAAATAAGCCTGCAGATGTAAAACACAACATAACCTGCTATGGTTGTTAAGTGTGACCCTATGAACTGTCAATCCAAGAATGACAGGACTTAGAGGTAGCAAAATGTATCCCCAGAGGCATGCCTGTGAGAGGTTTACCCATAACTAAGATTTTGTCATGGTTTAACCCCAGCCAGCAACTAAGCACCACGCAGCCGCTCACTCACTTCCCGAGAAAATCGGGAAAAGAAGTAAAACTTGTGGGTTGGGATAAGAATGGTTTAACAGAACAGAAAAGAAGAAACTAATAATGATAACACTAATAAAATGACAGCAGTAATAATAAAAGGATTGGAATATACAAATGATGCACAGTGGAATTGCTCACCACCTGCCAATCAATGCCCAGTTAATCTCCGAGTGGCGATCCCCCTGCCCCCACCCCCCCCAGTTTATATACTAGACATGACATCACATGGTATGGAATACCCCATTGGCCAGTTTGGGTCAGCTGCCCTGGCTGTGTCCCATCCCAGCTTCTTGTGCCCTTCCAGCTTTCTTGCTGGCTGGACATGAGAAGCTGAAAAATCCTTGACTTTAGACTAAACACTAATTACCAACAACTGAAAACATCAGTGTTATCAACATTCCTCTCATACTGAACTCAAAACATAGCACTGTACCAGCTGAAACCAGGACAGATTTTCACCTTCAGTTTGTGTCTTGGAGTCTTTCTGGTGGGCTGAGTTTCAGTGAATGCAGCTGTGTGGTTCACAGCTTGGCTTAGCTCAGCTGCAAAGTGTTTTATAGTAGTGATGCAAGGAAATCTTGTTTTTGTAGAGCTGAATGTACTATGCAGTTCTCCTGGGCTTACCTGGCTTGAGAAGTAAAGGATATTAATGGTAGGTCTGAAAGCACTGTGCAAAATCAAAGAGAATTTGTAGCCTGGATCCCAACTTGAATTTCCAAAAGACACTGAATTGCTACCCTCCTCCACCCTGCCTGCAGTTTGGAGCATTTACTTTTAGGATCTTCTTTATCATATAGGTAATGTAGTCAGTTAAAAAAATTAATGAATGAAAAAATTAAAAACCTTGTTT